CAGTTATTAGTCTTTCTCTACATAGGAACCACACAGAGTTCTGCATTTCTCCCACCGTTCGTTGCAGCTCTGGACACCGTTTTTGTAGAACATCCTACGTCATCGTAACGTCATCTGGGAACATCATCTGGGAAAGGCTTTCCTTTCAAAAACAACCTCATGGCTGGGAAGAGATGAAAGTCAGAGGGTGCAAGGGCAGGAGAGTAAAGGAGATGGGGTGGATATTATAGCCACACACCCGTGCTTCTGATCTGGTGACATGCGAGTTGTGGACTGGAGTGTTGTCCTACAGGAGGAGGATACCTATGCTGATCTTTCCCTGCCTCTTGATTTTGATAGCTTCTCTTAATTTCATCAAAAATGAAGTGTAATAGGCTCCTGTAATTGTGGTGCCCTTTGCAAGGAAATCTGTCATCACTACTCCGTCCCGGTCCCAGAAGACTGTGAGCATGACCTTGCCAGCGGAGGTCTGCACCCTTCCCTTCTTTGGAGGTGGTGAGTCCAAGTGCTTTCACTGCGAGGAAAATTTGAGAATTGAAATTATGTCGCAAACATACGCGGCTTCATATAACACAAGTGTTTCAGCCAACGCGTGATAAGTTATTCGCATATTTGACACCGTAGGTTAGGAGAGCAAAATACCCCTCAGTTGTTCTTATTAATAATTGTTTAGTGTACCCCAGGCCTTTTTTATAATGTTAACGCGAATCAGAATAAAGTACGGTTATTTTTGTTCTACTAGTATGGCTTTCCAATTGAAGATACATATAAATTCCAAATTTATATTGGTGTGAAATTACATTCCATTTCAAATTTGTCGGGCAACTTTTCCGCTTGTTCTGTCTCTGCCATTGCCTGCAATGTCATCAATATCATTCCTATGACTTGCTTGATACATCTCATATTGTCACATTGGAACTGTGGTACTGAAGACACTATCTTCCCAATCTTACCTCAAGCGTTTGTTGCGGGTAGTAGCAGTGACATTATTTGGAATGAATTAACATCGACAGTAGACATACTCACTGCTATGAGCATTCCATTACTGATTTGGTAGCTGGAACTCTCATATTACGATTTGCAACTTATTTGTAATACATATGGGGTTAAAACGAATACCCAGTCTCATGCACGTAACTGTGTCCATCTTCACATGCCCCCTATACATTTTGTTCTGATACGCCTACATAGTAGTAATGTGTGGTGTTAAATGTTCTACCATAAACCATATTCTCATAAATTGTCTTCGCTAGTAATAAAACGCTTCTGTGGTGCAATATGGCGTATATATATATAAAACAAAATGTCGTTCAAATCCATAACTGTGTTATTGTTAGTTTTTTTGAATCAATATGTGCATTTAAATTAACCAATTTGCATGACGCAAACCTGTTTCAGTATGTTCTTTGCTTATCTTTGAAACATTTTTGCTTATTATTGAAGCATTTTATACACCAGTATTAATTGATGCTAAGGCAATAATGATTGAATGTTGGTTGTTCAGTAAACATCATTGTATTTATGACAAGCGCTGAGCTATAACAACTGATATGTCTACTACATCAATGCGTAATCCACGCAGTAATTACAATTTTCAATGTTTTAATGCTTTGACATTGACATTGAGTTATTATATGACTTTCAATAATCATATGCAATTCATGACATTTAGGTTAACAACTGAGTCACTTTGTTTTCATAAAATAATCATGATATATTTTATCGACGACAATTTTGTTATGCTGTTTGAAAATTGGTTTCAAATGTTACATTTACAATTGTTGAGTACATATATATGAACACCGCATGGACGTTTGAATGGGTAGGAATATTGAAGCAATTGCAACCACCAAACATTTTCTTCAGAGAGTCCTATTTTCCATAAGCTTATGTTGGTTGCACACTATACATAACAATACAATGCACCAGGGAGCTATATAACTGGAATACAATTATCAGTAATAATAACTGCTAATACGCTTATTATGTCATTATGCTTTGGCGGAATGGGTCTAACAATGTCTTTTTTAAAAGCAATTTTAGAAAATAATGTTCAAAAATGAGTAATCGCTCAAGCAACCGTTCATTAGTCCATGCTATGTCGCGAAAACCGCTGTGAACAGCATCACAATGGAAGTATCTAAGTAGTTTCATTGATTTTTTGTTAAAAAAACTGAAAATGCTGTAATATTTGGTAACTGATATAATCTCATCAATGCAAATAAAAAAAAATATTGAGTCCCGCAAAATATATATATTTTCCAAATCAGCGCTGTCGATTTGGGTGAGGGTCTCATACGGTTGCCATGGAAACATATTTTGGGAAGGACAAGACACCATTGCTATATTACACGAAAAGTTAATAAATTTCCATAAATAATTTAGAATGAAATGTTCTTTAGACAAACCCATGAAGTATGATGACATCTCATTTTTAATGTTCAAAAATGAGTAATCGCTCAAGCAACCGTTCATTAGTCCATGCTATGTCGCGAAAACCGCTGTGAACAGCATCACAATGGAAGTATCTAAGTAGTTTCATTGATTTTTTGTTAAAAAAACTGAAAATGCTGTAATATTTGGTAACTGATATAATCTCATCAATGCAAATAAAAAAAAATATTGAGTCCCGCAAAATATATATATTTTCCAAATCAGCGCTGTCGATTTGGGTGAGGGTCTCATACGGTTGCCATGGAAACATATTTTGGGAAGGACAAGACACCATTGCTATATTACACGAAAAGTTAATAAATTTCCATAAATAATTTAGAATGAAATGTTCTTTAGACAAACCCATGAAGTATGATGACATCTCATTTTTTGAAATCGTGTAATAGAACTCTTGGCACAGGAACAGTCCTTTAGATTACCATGGAAACAGCAATTTCCAAATTCCAGTTGCTATGGAAATAGTAAACGTTTGACGGCTTCTTCACTATTGCCAGATAGGGTCATTGTCTGAATTATTGAGTAAATAAACTAGACTCTTTTCGAAAAAAAAATTAGAAGCTATGATACAATATGTCTAGTTATGGGAAGACATACAGTAGGGAAGTGCTAGTGAGGATAAGTAATTCCTATTTGTGACGGAGTAATTCCTATTTGTTTCGCTCCGGGAGTGCCTTCTAGTTATATGTGTGGTCCTTATTACATTTGAGTTAGATTGAAGCCATAGGTCAACGGTTATTGTATTTGCGATTATATTTTATTCAAGATTTTTTTCCACTATTGTAGTTATTTTCAATTTACGGTCCTTTATATATTTGTTGCTGATTGACGCCATTATATCTCCGGTTCGAAGTTATCACGCATATGATTATATTCCATCAACGAGTTTGTAGAACTTTCAAAACCGAAGGTCAAAACATCTAGGAGCAAAACATCTTTTTTAAAGTTCTGGGATGTGCACTAAAAAGAAGATGAGATAATTGCTAATTTGCATAACAATTCACTCAGTAAGAAGTTTGCTAACGCTCATATCTAAAATGGTTGTAACAGTTCCAAATTAAAATGTATTATCGTTTTGTAAAAAGTTAAATATAGTGCATAATATGGAGATCCCGTCATTTCTTTTTTTTTACCATGTTTCTTTTTTTATTATTTATGTACAGCCTTGCTAAATCTTGATAAGCATTCAAAAGAGAGAATGTTTGCACTTGTTATCTATATTTTAAAATCGTCAATTCTACAAAATTTTAACAGAAAATAAAACAGTTTGGATAATAAAAAACAAAAAACAAATTCACTCCCAAGTGCCCACGAACCTGCATCTCTACCTTAAAATTGTCATGTGAACTTGGGCTGCCACAATACTCGACTAATTCACGAATTGTATTTACAGTGTTGCACACTTAATCGACAGCGTTACAAACTCTGCTTACGTAAGGAGAGTAGGTCTATAGTGCCAATCACGGCGGTGGGGACCAGTACTGAACTGTGACACGTATTAGTCCCAAATGACGTATACGTATGTATATAATTGCATATATGCACATTATCCATGTCACTGTCCCACTGTGCATATTTACCTAGAGATAATCTTACGCCTAAGTGCGCCAAGCACTATCAGCACCGGCATTAATGTGTTTCCACGCTGTTAAATTACACACCATGTGCTGAAATGATCTTTAGATGCAGAGATAATTGTGAGGGAAAACACAAGTAGACACTATGTGCAATCATTATGGCGTGCCTACAGGCCATTAACTGAAGTATAGCTAAGTTAATTAGTTTTATAAAGGTTATGTAACAAGAAGACTGCTTTGAGCTAATCCAATTTGGTCTATTGAGGCACATCAGTTAAGGTTGTCAATTTCGTTCAATGTAAACAGGTTACAATTCCTATTCATGTATTACAAAGATAAAGCTTATTTATTTTGCTTGTCGCGAACGTAATTTGTAATAATATATTATTAATTAAAGTAATTACGCATCAGTACATTCGCGTTCAGATTCATTTTCAATTACAATTTAATTGAATATTTCATCCAAGTTTTTGCTAGCCATATGTGCGGACGCCAGTACCAGTGCATGCCTGAAAGCATTTCCGCGTCAGTGCGTGTGTTTCAAGAGATTTCTATACATTTACTATTCCGCCGTTTTACATATGACATTGCTGTATACATTGCGTCGTGGTCGATTCGAAATGTATGTTGCGAAAATCCCGTACGAGCTGTATTACCAATCTCAGTGATACTCACGTTACGTAGATATATATGAATACGAAGCATGTGCAACGTAACCACTAATTGTTGTATGTCAAAAAGTAGTTCCCCCATCCGTATTTTCATTTCAGGGTTTCTCTGTTGCTTCAACAATGTCAAAATACAAATAGGCGTGTACTGTTAGCACGTGACGTGGTTATTGATCTATTCAGAATGCCTGCAGCAAACAATATAGTATAACCAATGACAACGACTCACACGTTATGTACGTATTTACAGCGTTTTGCTGGAGTCATGTGACCGGATTTTTTGTAAACAGTGATCAGTCGAGCACGTAGTCTTTGAACGTAATGTTGAAGTAGTGTTTGACTTTGCCATACGTGTTCCATATCGCTGAAAAGGTATGCGCTGTTCTCTGCATGATTCTAGGCTGGCAAGCATGGACAAGACATCTTTGATATTCATAACAGTGGTGTCAGTCTTTGTGCTTCTGAGCGTCTGCAGCAATATGTTGGTCATCTTAGTGATGTACAAATGCAGAAATACTAAGTCCGTCACCAATATTTTCATTGTAAACATTGCAATTAGCGACGTTATTCTTGCCGCGATTGTTTTACCCCAACAGATACACGACATCTCGCACACGAATGACTTTTACGAAGGTAAGTTTAAATCATTGCATTTATAAGCTATTGCTTGAAAAATATAAAATTAACATTATCCAAGGACGGGCGTACATCTTTAAGTTGAGGGGCACCCAAACAACCAGGTCGCTGTATGTACAAATTGCGTTTCCCTAATAATGACCATTTGCTTTAATTGTTGAGAGATTTGTCGACCAATGGTGTGGCTACATAGAAATGCAACTTATACGAGTTATTTGACATTTGGAGAATAGTTCTCAATAGTGGTTATTTTAAGTGCGTAGATATAATCATAAATTTCGATGTTACAAATTTTGGAGTGTAGTGTACAGCCATATGTTAAAATAATACATATGTTTTCAAGGATAAAACATTGTTAGGACAAGTGACGGAACGTGTTGAGTTACATTATATGTGTATGGCTGTGTATGTTATACATATTAACAGAGGCAATACCATGCGTACTGTGGGTATTGGTGATTTTCTAGCATGTTGACGGGGTTTTTCATGGGAGTCATTTTGAGTCACGCTTTATAAATGATATATTAAGCGCGTCTTTGAAAGCACACAGTGTCATCTACGACGCGTCCTGTCAAAGCAAACGTAGGGTTTTTGTTTTTGGCGACGTTTTGTCTACCTCATATGTAATTATTTCCAACCCAGCGGCTAAGTTAGGTTTATTGGTAATCGCCACATGTCGTGTTCAACATCAGCATTTTTATGTGTCAATAATGTGCATTTGTTCTTACGATTCGTATGATTTGTATATTTCTACAATACGCAAAATGTGTGTAAGTTGTATGTTTAGTTACAGCTACAAATGTAAAGTGTCACACTATTGTTAAAATACAACAGATATGAAATCATAATTTTGATCGTATACAAAAAAGACCATTGATATTATCTCATTATATTGGTACACGCTGTGAAGGTCATATGCATTTATGTTGATTAATGATACCTGGAACGACTGTTGAGATTACACATAGGCAGATAAAGATCAAAATGTGAATCACAAACGTGATTTGTTTGTGTTCAAGTTCGAATACTATTCACTCTAGGAAGATTGCATATAAACTTATCGAGCTATTAATTGGCAGACAGATAATTGGAATTAAGAGATGTCTTCGTGAAGCTAAATAAACAATTGTAATACCAACACTTCAACGTTAACATTAGTTAACGACAGGCTTGAACGTGCTTATCAGTAAAATTAGGAGATAAATACGTCTTTTTCCCTTTAGATTTATCTATCAAATGGAATACAATATTACTTAGTGAGCAAAAACTGTGGCATATACAGATATCATCGACAAAAGGCAATCAACTGATTCATACATCAATGATATGTCCGAATGAGTAATTGAATGTTTAACGTTTTTGTACCCTTAAGGTAGAGATTCGTGGGCACTTCGGAGTGAATTTTTTTTTTTTTTTTTGCTTTTTATTCATCCAAACAGTCTTGGCTATAAACTGTTAAAATTTTGTACAATTGTGAATAGTGAAACATACTCAAAAGACGATATTAAAATATAGATAACAGTGCAAACATTCTCTCTTTTGAATACTTAGCAAGATTTAGCAAGGCTGTACATAAAAATAAAAAAAAAATAAAAAGAACATGGTGAAAAAAGAA